AAGGCACCTCGACTTGCATGAAGATCACGCCGCCGCCGCCACGGGCAACGCTGCCTCTCTTTTATGCAAACTCCGACCACAGCCCGAAGCAGGTTCGCCCTGAAGTTCAGACTCGTCGCCCCCCCCAACACAGACGGCCCCAATTCCTAAGAAGCAATTCCAGCCTCGCAAGCTGATGGGGCGGCGCGCCTATGACGGGGCGCGTCTCAGGCGTCTGATCGACGGAGGGTCGCCCGACGCACACACGCGACTGGCGCGGGGCAATGCTCTGGCAGCGCAGCACGGCATCAACGCGGACCAGATCGACTCCGCATTCACCGCGTTCCTTGCCGGAGGCAGAGGCATATCGCGGGGGCAACAGAACCTCTACCACCTGGATTAGTGAGCCCATCTTCGCGCGGGCCCCACCTCGCCTCGCGGAATATGCCCGCGGCCTCGTCTGTGTCAACCACCGCCGACAGCGGAAGAAGATTGCCACCCTTCTCACCTACCCCAGACAAAGCGGCATCGCATTGGTTGAGGAAGTCGATGGATCGACCCAACGACCCGGCAGGCTCGTCGCATCCACGCCCCACGTCTAATCGGCCCTCCTCAGCATCCGCACTAAATACGATCGGGCGGGCATTGGAGGCGTCGCGCTCCCGGCGCCATCCGCGGAGAAGAGTATCACCCTCCACTCTCCCAGTTGCGACATCCCCCCCTGGCACGCCCTCGACAACGTCGCGCTCTCCCTCGGCCGAGCGTTCAGCTACCTCGCACCCGGCCCCCCCGTCATCTTCTTCATCGGGGTCAAAGACTTCAGAGGAGGACCTCGATCAGGAAGCGTGGTCTTGGGCCCCTGGCCTGCCCCTCAGACAGTGGCCACTCGGACTCCACCGCGGCATTCTCACCAAGCATGGGAGCCAGCGTTCCCCCGAGCACTACCCCATGGAGAGCCCGCGCAGGACGCTGCCCCCCACTTCCCTCGCCGTGGAGGTACTCCACGAGAAGCAGCGCAGGTCGGGCACCATGACCACGGGCTGGAAACCCCAGGTCGGGCGGCCGCTGGCATCCAACGGCAACGACACCATCGCTGGGCCGCCGCTGCCCGCGCCAGCAGCTCTGCTTTGCCGGCGGCTTCAGTATCCACGACGAGCCCCCCTGCGTCGCACCTCGAGCCCACCCCGACGTGCTGCCCTGCGACTGCCAGGGCGCAGCACGAACAGGCATACTGGCGAAGGCCCACTGGCGCCAGGGTCGAGGAGAAGGGCGGTTTTCCAGCGGGGCTCGACCGACAAAGCTCTCCTCGGACCCTCAGCGCGCGCCACTGCGAATCTCGAGGACTCGCCGCACATTTGGCACAAGGCTGCGGAGAGGGGTGGCTACCCCACGAGTTATCACAGTAGATTGTCGCCCAGACTCCGCCTGGCGTCACCGACGGCGGAAACGAACCGGGGCGCCCCCGACCTCATGAGGAAGACGTGTCTGTGCAAGACCAGCCTGGCCATGCTCGATAAGATCACGCGCACGGCTGCGCGCTCTTCGGCAGCGCTGTAGAAGCCCGCGCAGACGAACATGATCAATGCTGCCAGACCCACTCGCAGTCATGATGAACACATGCTCGCGTGGGGCCCCGAGAAAGCAGTCCGCAGCAGTAGCGCGGATGATTGCATCCAGATCCCATGAGCGATCTGGCGACAAGACACGTCGTTGGCCGCTTCTGCCACCGTTCACATTGAACTCGGCCAGAAGCACTTCGCCATCGGGTCCAGCACTGCCGAGCTCATCGACGAGAGGGACTTCGCTGGTAAGGCAGCTTGGCTCACAACCTTCATATCCACGCTCTTCGGCAGCAAGCAGACGGGTGAACTAGCCAAGCGGCCCCGCAGAGCCGCGCTCAAGTTTTGGAATTCAACAGCGCCAGCAGCGGATGCTCCAGCTGCGCAGTCGCCTACAGGGTTATGTTGTCGATCGTGCTCGGAATCGGTGCGTTCGTCTGGCCGATGGCCAGACAGCGGCCAGAGACCCCGCTGGCGCGTTCGCGGCATTCAAGGAGCATTGGGTCGATGGACCAGTTTCCCGACACTCGCAGCCCAACGGACATCCCGCAGCTGCACCCCCCGCCCCCGATTGCCAGCAGTCTTCGGGCAGCCACCTTTCGGGCCAGGCAATCCGCACATGGACCTAGTCTTCTCTCACACAAAGCAAGGATGCACGCAGATGGCGCTATCGACCTCGTCGAGGACGCACGTCGAATGGAGCCTGTCCGAGCACCGTTATGCCACGAATTCCTATGTTCCATTATCCCCGAGCGCTCCGAGGAACCCAGTGCATTTGCGGCGCTGGCACCCTTCGCCCAGTCAATCGCAAGGACACTGATTCGAAGGCTATAGATCCGGCCATGACTAGTGCATGACGGAGCAAGTCGAAGCCCACGCTCACCCAATGCACAAATGGGTCGTTTGGTGCGGACCTGCTGCCAGAACATCCACATGATCGACGCGGAGTCTCGCATCGCCAGTCTGTCACCTTCCGCAGAAACAAGTTTCCCCAGATTGCTCGTCTTCGACATCGTTGCCCCCCTTCCCTCGTTGGGAGGGCCGTTGCTCTTCTGCGCGCTCGGGCGATTGGGGCCCACCCGAGGTTGCTTGAACGCCGTTCTCGGCCCCTACGACATGTCCATCGGATTCGTTCTCATCGATGGGGAGCTTCGCTTGCTGTGCCCCATCGACGGCGGCGTCGCCAAGGGATGCCCTCTCTCGGGCATGGCGCGGGCTGCGGCTATGGATCCAAGTATCGGTGTCTTGCCACAGTAGTGCCCACGGCAAAGGAAGCCGCGGCCGCCGCGCGCGCAGATGGCGCCGCCGTTGTTCAATGCCAATTAAGCTGGCGCAGCTCATTCGGATCGCCACTGCATTCGACACCTCTCGCAGCCGAGGTCAGAAGTTACATTTTCAGCTAAGGAAGAGTCACGCGATCCCGCTCTAGACAGAGCTTACGGGCGAGGTCAAGCTCCAGACCGAGGACTTCGTCACGAAGAACGCACATTCAATGGCAGGGCATTCGCATCACCTCCTCGGGCAAGCACATTTTCGCGATGGCGGGCCATGGGGCACTGAACACTGACCAGCACGACTGCGGCCAAGTGGTGGCGCCGCGTGGCCATCACAGGCCAAAAGATAAGCCTTGTCGACTCCTGAGCTTGTCTCTATTTTACGCCTGGCCTCATTGCCCTGTCCTGCCCCTCGTCGCAGCTCCGGAGACATCGATGTTCCTGTGGAACTTCGTAGGTCCTGCAGATCGCGTGCCATCCTCCAGCAAGATGCGCACAGCAATACACCTCAGCTGTCACGGGGCCTTGGCTAGGCAGGGCTGCAAGCGGTGCCAACGCTGGCGCAGACCAGGGGGGTGCACGGTTCGCTTGGCGATCGCGATCTCGAATTTGTCTGGAAACCATCGCTGCTGGAGCGTCCGCGAGAAGCAGCGCTGTGGGCAGGGGCGCTTATCCCCCCTCACGGCGCCCCGCACGATGCGAGCCACGATAGTGCCAGCAGCCCGAAGGTACGGATGAAGCCGCCCAGGGAAGGAGCTTGGCACGTTGCCACGACGGCCCAGAAGCGCTGGACAAGGGCCTCCCGCGTCGTCCAGTGTGGAGGGGGGCCCGCGGCAGTGGCTGTGGTCGACGAGCCCGACGGAGTGTTCGGCGGCATGTTGGAAGCGCGGGAGCGTGCTGGCGACGAAGGCCATGCCGTGAGAGTATACGCCGCGGCCTTCCCGCTCTCCTCGTCGGGATCAGCTTGAACGCATTGGGAGGGGGGCGAAGAGTTCTTGTGTAGTGTGCGAAACCCCTTGGCCAGGAGAGCGTCTGGTACGAGATGGAACTGCGCGAGCCCTCGTGGGGTCTGGCACTACTTCGCGTGCCGCCACGCATGGCATTGGGCAGCGTTTCATCGCACTGACCCCAACACCATCCACCGTCTTGGCATGGGAGCGGTATGCCTTGACAACGGAGAGCACAGTTACGAACAGACCATTCGCAGGCCCATCTTGTTCTAACATGTACATCGAGCGGAAGGTGCAATTCGGCTCGCCTTCCACGCCCTCGGGCGACGACTTGATCCCGTATGCGTGTCGATTTCTGTCTGTTGGGCGCCGTCCTGGTCGTGACGGCAAGGGGCAACATGTCCTCACCACTCAAAACGATAAGTCGAACCGCGTAGAGCGCGACGCCCCTCGGCGATGCCAGCCAATGCTTGTCCTTTGGACTTCCGTCGCCATCATCACATCCGCCCTCCGAGGGTGCACGATGTGACAAAGGTGAATTGGGCGGGCACGAAGTTTTCTGGCGATCTGCATGGTTCACGGCGAAGTGTTGTCCACGGTCCGCGGAGATTGACGGGGGGATTTGCTGATTTAGATGTCCGTTGTTCATATCTGCTACGAGTTCTGGCACCCCCCATTGCCCCGGGTAAGGCTTGCGAGGCTTGTGATCTCTTCAATTAGTTCCCCTTTCCAAGGTACTTCTCTGTACTTTCGGAGGTGGGGACCGACGTCTCCTAATTGTTCGCAGGTCGCAGGACTGACCTTGGGACGGCCGGCGTAATGATCACATGCGTGTTAAGGCCACTATTTGATTCGTATAAGGCGCGTGTACCTACCCGACTCCACTTGAATTTATCCCCCGTCCGTTCAGTCATCCATCCATACTCCTCCACTTTGGCGTGAGCGTTGAACGTCGCACGGAGAGCGCCTCGAATGAGGGCGGTGTCTCCGATCCATCCTTGGCCCCCTCCCAGGACTGGAACCCGCCTGAAGGCCTGCGGGCGATCTAGCAATTGTAGAATCCAGTGCGTATGCTGTGCTTGCGGCTATTGCCGTTTGCGTTCGACCAGTCATGTGGTCCATTCTCTGCGCTTCCATGGGTTTCCCTATGTTTGCCTGTCACGCCATTGCTGTTGCCCGCTCCTCTCGGCCACGTTCTGATCCATCTTCTGTCTGTATCTCGGAAATGTTCCTTGCAGCGAATTCGCCAACATGCCGCACGGGTCGATCGAGTCCATCAACGACGCCAACCCGCTGCGGAAGAGTATTCCATCCGAGGTCGGATCGCACCGCCCATTCTTGTTTTGGTTGTGCACCATTGGCGCCTTGCGCACACCTTGTGAGGAAGGGGGGGCGAGGAGGAGGGGGAAGAAGGGCAGGAGGATGAGGAGGAGGAGGGCGGGGTGAGTCCGGAAGTAGGAGGAGGAGGAGGGGAGGAGGAGGGGGAAGAAGGGGGGGCGAGGAGGAGGGGGAAGAAGGGCAGGAGGACGAGGTGAGCAAGGACGAGGGCGGGGTGAGTCCGGCGGAACAGCACAAGCCTCAGAGAGACGCAGTTGATGGGAAGGCAGCGGAAGCGGCTACAACGTCTGCCACGCGCTGTGTGCTCGCACAAACAGTAGTGATTGATAGCTTTAGTGTTGGCACATGTGTATATATATATATATATATATATGTGTGTGCGCAAAACACATACAAAACCATTGTTTGTGAGGGAATGTGACATGTGCGTGCTCGTGTCGCCCGCATTGTGCTGTTTAGTAGTGGTTAGAAGAAACATAAATTATCATGTCAAGGCGAATGCTCCGCATAGTAAAAGTAGTTGGGAGGATTGGCGATCCTGTGATATAAACGATGAAAATTAGATGTGCTGGTATAAAGTGTCATCAAACCTCGGTAGGATGTTGTATCTAATTCTTTTCTAGAAAAGAGAGTACGTGTGGATTAATATGTACATATATATATATATATATATATGTATGTATTCATCCTGCTATACGAGCCTGCGTACGGAGCGCCGACAGATGACCACCAAACTAAACCTCGGAAACGCCAGGGACTCCAACGATTTCGAGAAGGAGATGTGCGTTCTCCAGGAATCGGCGCGTCATGTGAACTCCGTGTGCCTGATAGTAGAGAATTTCGGTTTCATCGTATCATTCATCGTACTATTAGGCGACGTGCAGCTGGGGCTGCAAAAGAAGATGCCGAGATTGGGGCTGTGGCCTGGCCCTATCATCGATGAGGGCCGTTCCGAGGTTTGGGATCTGCACGACGAGAGGGTGCATGAATGGTTCTTCTTCCATGTGCGACAGGCTCGGGCCTGGCTGTGGATCACGCAGACGCCGGGTGACACGTTCGGTCGCAGTTGCAGGCTGCAGTACCGTACCGCCGAACATCCTTGGGGCCCACGCCCCGTGGCACCAGCAGTGTCGCAGGACGGTTTTGTCTTGCGGATCTGCTTGTCCTTGAGAGCTGCGTCAGGAGGCAGTCGCGGGGCGCGACAGCGCCGATCCTTTGCCCTACTCTCTGGGAGGTGGCACGCCGCGGAGCTGCGCGGAGCTGCGCGGAGCTGCGCGGATCTGCGGCGGAGTCGGTCCTCCTGCACGTTGGCCCGAGGATTGCAGATGTCTCGAGGAGGACATGGAGCATCCAGGTAAACGGTCAACTGTTGGAGGATTGGACAGAGGAGCGACGCGGCAGGCGGCGCTTGTCGCCCAAAGAGAGGGCGATGCGACTGAAGATCGTCTGCGAGAGTGGGGAACCCTTGGCAGCTCTCTCGACGGAGGGCCCAGCGAGGCCATCGATGCAGGTGGTCTGGAGGTGCCGCTCGTTGAAGAATTCGTGAACGCTGTTCCGTAGAGGGTGCCCGTCCAGGACACGGCCGACCAGGGCGGGCACATCAACGTGAAGGAGCTTCGGGCCTTCGGGGAGGCCGTGACAAGAGGGTCACGCAAGTCCCCCGCAGCGCGGCCGACGTATTTCATTGATTCCAGGGTGTTCATTGGAGCGCTGGCCAAGGGCCGCTCGTCATCTTGGCACTTGAACGAGGAGTCGCGGGCGCTGCTGCAGCACATGGCAGGTTACGACCACTGTCAACTTCAGGGGAAAAGGCGAAGCAGGAAAACCAGCCGCGAACTGGGAAATTCGGTCGCGAACGGGGAAGTTGTACTCGGTCAAATCGGGATTATTTTCGTGGCCAACGGGGAAATTATTCGGGGGGCTCCGCGGATGTGTTTGCGGGCGAGCGGGGAAATTTGTCCGGCTCAACGAGGAAATTTATTTGGCCGATTGAGGATTGGCTCTTGGTGTTATCACGTATGTTGTTGGATTCAGGCTGCCTTAGAAATGGATACTGCTGGAGAGCACGGGCGGGCGCATTGGGTTGTAGTTTTAGGACTTAGGAGTGGTTGTTGAGTTTCAGTTTCCACTTATGTAGCCCGTCGCCCAGGATCCACCTCTCAGGGTTTCCAAAGGGAACGCCGGGTCCCCCAGTCAAACGGAGGCGACCGACGAGAGAGCTGCCCCAGTTTTGAAGGCTGTGTCCGTGGCAGCGGCCTGCCGGCAGGGCTCGGCTTACACCTCTGTGGCGAGGGCTCTTGCCAAGTGCGGCGCTCCAGACATCGTCGCCTTCGAGGATCGACGGAGTTGCCACCTCTTCCACGGCAGAACGCGGCCGAAGGCCGAAGGCAGGCCAGCGGAGGCGCCGCTCGCCTAATGTGCGGCCGCCCGCCTGCGCTCGCCGCCGCTCGCGCGCTGCACCGCCCGACGGGCTGTTCTTTGGCGGGCCGTTCAATGGATCAATGGCTGCTGCCCTAGAATTAAGTCGGGCCTGTCCCTCTAGAGGGGGAATCTTCAAAATTAGTTGTTCTATAACAAAAAAATCTTGGGATTATTTGTTTAGTATGTTTGGGCATATTTTGAATATTTGTTGATTGTTTTTCATTTCTCGTCCAAAGTCCCCCCCTGTAGGGTGACAGGCCCGACCTGACCCTAGAACTGAAAACTCGGGGTGGCCGAGAGGTCCTGGCAAAAAGGAAGGATCTTCAAAATTTGGGCAGGCGTGTGTTCGTCAGGCGTTTTCGCCGCCAGCGCAGTCGCTCTGCCTAGCCGCCGACGCAAGACTCGTGTTAGTCAGGCGATCGCTTGCATTTTCAAATAGACTCGGAAGAGGGAAGTGAGAAGAGTGGAAATGGGGTCTAGACAAACGACAGCGTTTACTTACAGGGCTCGTTGTTTTTCGTGGGCGTTCGGGTTTCGCTCCGTGGTGCAGGGAGGCTGCCAGCTGGAGTTTCCTGTAGGATCCGATTCCAGCGTCCGTAAGTCGCTTCGGCCGACGGCTCTTGCAATCTTTGATGTGCTGTTTTTTGGCAGAGCGTTCGCCCGATCAACGGCTACTGCCCTACAATTGAAAATTTGGCGTGGCCGGGAGGCTTTCAAAATTAGGGCAGGGGTGTGTTATTGGAGCGTTCGTTTTGCATGTTCATGTAGTCGTTGTTTTTCGCGGGCGCTCGGGTATCGTTCCGTGGTGATTGGAGGAATCCAGCCGGAGTGTCTTATTCCAGCGTCCGTAAGTTTCCTCTGCCGACGGTTCTTGTGCTCATGTGATGTGTTGTTATTTGGCGTAGCGTTCGCCGGATCAACATTCACCGCCTTGAAATTGAAAACTCGGGGAGGTCGAGAGCTATTCGGAAAAGGAGGAGTTTTCAAAATTAGGGCAGGCGTGTGTTATTCAGGCGTTCGCTTTGCATTATGATGTAGTCTGTGTGTATAGGAAGGGACAGTTCAAAGGCTGTAGAAGGGGTCTGCAGAAACGATTGCGTTTCCATGGTTTGTTATTTTTCGCGGGTGGTCGGGTTTTACTCCGTTGTGTTTGGGGGTGTCCAGCAGGAGCTTCTTATCCCAGCGTCCGTAGGTTTCTTGTGTCGACAGCCCTTGTTATCACGTGATGCGTTGTTCTTTCACGTAGCCTTCGCCCGTTACGGTAATTGCCCTGGAATTCAAAAGTCGGTGTGGTTGACCGTTCTTCGGAAAAGTGGGAGTTTTCAGACTTCGGGCAGGCGTGTGTTATTCTAGCGTTCGTGTTGCATCCTCATGTAGCCACTGTGATCGGAAGTGGGAGGCTCGAAGGCTGGATTAGGTCCAGAGGGTTCAAAAGCGTCTACAGGGCTTGTTGTGTCTCACAGGCCTTCGGGTCTCGGCGGCATTGATGACATGATAGTATTTGTGAAGGTATCCTGCTCTCCGTGGTTTTGTTTTTGGAGGTTTCAATCACGAGTTTCTCGGTCCAGCGTCTGTAAAGTTCCTCGCTCGACGGGAAAATTGCTTCCGCCCGCCTGAAAGAATCTCCTCGTTCGACCGAGGCTGATTTCCCCGCTCGCCCGAAATGATTTCCTCGCTAGGTCTGCTGAATTTATTGGTTCACCCGGAAAAATATTCCCGTTCGCCCGTCGAATTTGCTTCGCTCGACCGAAAAAATCCGTTCGCCTGTCGACCTCAACTTCAACCCTAAATGGACCCAGCTCGGGGAAGGGATATAAGACCGTGTGGAGACGGGCCTGCGACGTTAAGTTGCGAAGGGGAGTAATTCCGTCGAGCCTTCGACCTGTGGGCCGGGTTGCCGAGACAGACCCGAGTTTCCAGCGATTGGGCAAGACTCTTTCTCAATTTCGTGCTACCTGAGCCCGGGGCCGCATGGCCGGGAAGTTGGGGGCTATTCGACAGCATTTGCGGCCTTCTGGGCGAGTGCCCGCGATGGCAGGCATTCGTGTCAACGCCGCGGCGTGCTTCTAGCCACCCACAGGCATCCGCCCGAGATCGCTTTGCCGCGACGGCGGTGGCGATCGCGTGAAAAACGCGAGGGTGCGCGAGTGGTCGCCGACATGATGTAAACTAAAGAGACGCCCGAGGGCGGCGGGAAAGGGGGAGGAGAAACAGGGGGAGAAGAGGGAGCTGGAGGGAGGCAGGGAAGGAAGGAGGAGAGAAGGGAGGATACGAGGGACAGGACCGAGGGGGAGCGGGGAGAGGGGAGGGCCGCACGCCTCCTCAGCCAGCCCACACCCCACAGCCGACTCCTCCGCGGGGCAGCCTCCGGCAGGTCATCCGGCGGCAGCGTGCGCCGGAGCCGAGGGAGCCGGTGGTGGAGGACGGCGCGCGGGGCCGCCGCGCGACGACCGGCGGCGCGCCCGTGCCTGGTGGAGAGCTGGATTTCGACTAGACGTAAGAATGACCTTTCGCCGGAGTGACTTTTGGTGCGGGCACAGATGGGTCCCCAGGTGGCTGAAAACGAAACAGGAGCAGCGGCTTGCGCGCCCAGGTTGGGTCCCCCCGCGGCCCACAAGAAGCCGCGCGCCAAAGGTCACTCTTATCCAGGGTCACTCTTGCGTGTAGCCGATGGATTGTGGCTGCTGTAGACCTGCGGGGAGGTCACCGTTCTTGAGGCTGGGCGTGGCTCGGAGGGCTGGTCGGGGCTGTGACTCCGAGCGCGCTCTGGCAGCCAGTTCTTAGCGGACTCGATTACCGAAAGCAGTGGCCGCTCTTCTGGCGGCGAACCAGAGGGACCAGGGAGAGGGGGATGGCCTCCTTTTTCGGACGAAGGAGGCTCCCAGACACTAGGCGGATCAGAAGCATCAGGCCAGCCGATTATCTGACCAGTCTTTGCCTTTGGAAGCCCGTGTCGGGTAACAGAGCCATCTTAGAACGATGTGGGATGGAAAGCCGGCTTCGGGGAAGGGGTCGAGATTTCGGGGGGCATGCTTCGGAAGAACCTTGCCGCTGGACGCATGCTCTTTCAGAAGGGGTCACAGGCCTTACGCCTTCGGAGAGGCGCGGAGCCCTCTGGCAAGGCCGCTCCTTTGACCAGACCCGGCCCTCGCCTTCTCAGACATCCTGGCGGCTCGATCTGTTCGAGACGTGGGCGTCCAGTCCTTTTCTGCCCCTTCTCGGGCTCTGGCGTTTATCTTGGACTTTCTGCTTCGGTTTCGGGCCACGACGGCCCAGAACGGCGAAACAAGCTGCAGCCTCGAGTTTTTCGAGCCGCCAGGGCAGGGCATGCGCAGGCATTCGGCGCCCCCGGTGTCGAGGCGGCTGTCCCTGCTGGCGGCATGACCTCGGCCACGAGGGCCTCGAAGCGGCGCGATGCGGGTGTTTCCTGCAAGTCGCTAGAGCTACTGACTGCGCCGCGCCTCGGGGCCCGCGAGAGCACCCAGCCCCCAAGACCTCCAGGCGTCGCGAAGTGAAACGCGACCAGCGTTGTGTCCGTCTCGGCAACTGGGCTATCAAGAAGTTGCCCTCGACGGTCAGCTGGTCCTGGGGATTGGGTCGAGGGTCTGAGTTCTGGGAGGCCACGTCTCGAAACAAAAACAATCACAGACCTGAGCCCCCCATCCACCGTCTCCATTCCCCCTCCCTCCCTCCCTGACCACAGTCTGGCCGTGCACCCGATCCGTCGCCTCCCCGGAAACAAGCCGAGTCGGATCCAGAGGGGGACTGGTGCCTTTGAATTGTTGTCCAGGTGACCAGGGAGGAGGAGGGGAAGTCCCCAGATGTCTCCAGAGGTCCCTGGAAGTCGCCAGAGGACTCTGGAGGTCTCCGGAAGCATTCGGAGGCTACGAGGAGTTGAAGGAGGAGGAGGAGGAGGAGGAGGAGGTGGCGGAGGGAATGGGGAAGGGAAAGGATGGCAGGAGGAGGGTTGGGACGAGAGTGGAGGGCGGAAAGAGGGAGAGGGCGGAGGGAGGGAGGGAGAAGAAGGAAGAGAGAGTCAGAGGAGGGTCGAAGGAGGAGGAGGAGGAGGAGGAGGAGAGACAATAAGGAGGAGAGGATGAGGACGAGGAGGAGGAGGTGGGAGGATGGGATGAGCAATGAGCCAGAGTGGGAGGACAAGGAGTGGGAGGAGGAAGAGGAGGAGGAGGGGGAGAAGGAGGAGGCGGAGAAGGAGCAGCAGTAGCAGCAGCAGCAGCAGCAGGATGAGTTCTGAAGACTTCCTGCAACTACGAACGCCATCGGTGTTGTCATTGAGGGCGATTCGGAGTGCCAGCGCATTCCCCGCCCAGGGCAACACCCCTCGAACTGACAGCAAAGCGCCCTGAGAGCGGGCAGGGCACGTCTGGCCGTGAGTTCTTCCCCCAGGCGCTCTTCAAGCACGATTCGATGTAAAAGATGCACACCAGTCTCGCAGAGGAGACCTCTCTATGAACCCTCCCCAGGGATGAGGAGAACGAGAACGAGAAGGACGAGGATGAAGCTGAGGGCTCACAGCGTTCCGCGGGGTGATTTGGACCCACTGGGCGGCTTGAGCGAACATGGGCGCGCGCGCACCGGCTCAGCAAGCCCATGTTTGCAGTAGTGGACCCCCGCCACCACAGACGGTAAGCTGGGCTGCTGCCGAGCTGCGCCACTCCATTGCATGCGGGCGCCCGCCCAGGCCGTCCTCTGGCCTGTAGCCGCGTCGCCTACCTGCCAAGCCGGCCATCGCAGCTTTCCCGCGCTGGCCTGCGTCATGGCGATGGCCCCACATTGGTATTGATCTACGGTCGGGAACTTTGGCTTAGCGTGTCGCTCCGCCAGTTCTGGCCCACCACGCCTTGGCGCGACACGCTATCCTGTTCCCGGTCACACGCGTCAACGTCCCTAATTTTCCCGAGCCTCCCGCCTCGCGGAGCGGAGCGACACGCTATCCGCTTGCGAGAGATAGCGTGTCGCCA